GGTCACCATCGCTTACAGTACCTGTATTTTCCTGTATATGACACCAAAAGACACCAACGAATTCGTGTTCAACAAAATGATGACCCTGCTAAGTACGGTCGTGATTCCTTTTCTGGTCCCCATCATCTACTGTTTGAGGAACAAACAGGTGCAGGATGCTTTGACGGCTGAACTGAGACAATGGATTGGGTTTTGCAAGAGATTGAGATGATTGGGTATTGATATAGCTGTCAACTGGAGAGCGGAAGAGGAGGGGGTTGGAAGGAGGGGCCAGGTTGGCTGCAATTTGAGTCAGAAATGTCGGATTCTGCTATGCTTAAAAATAAAATGTTTCATTAGACAGCTTGCGCTTGAGAATGAAGTTTATTCAAGATAGCACCGAAACCTGACAGACAGCCAACCTCGCCCCTCCTTCCAACCCCCTCCTCTTCCGCTCTCCAGCCCCCACGTCCCATTGGCCATCATACAGATCCATCTCTACATCCCGGCACGTTCTTTTCACAGGAATGCAGCCCCCACCCTCGTCTCCCAGGAAACCCTATCTGTATATACAAAACTAGGTAAAAGTTCATCTCAGCAATAAATCAAGCTTCCGCTCTTTCTGCTTCAACTTGTTATGTCAGCGCTGGAAGAAAGCCTAATTTGGAACGCTGACACTGGGCCTGGTGGCTCAGCAGACTAAAAGCATTGTGATTAACACCAGCTGTCTGCAATTACTGTAAGTTCGAATCTCACCAGGCTCAAGATTGACTCAGCCTTCCATCCTTTCTATGGTAGGTAAAATGAGGACCCAGTTTGTGGGGGCAATAAGCTGACTTTGTATAAATATACAAAAGTATGAAGGCTATTGCTTAACGCATTGTAAGCCGCCCTGAGTCTCTGGAGAAGGGTGGCATATAAATCAAATTAAAAAAAAAAAGTTGGTGAATCCAGAAAAAGAAACTCCTGGGACATTATGTTACCAAGAGTATAAGCTTTACCGAATAAACCCCATTGGCACCGATGAAGCAAAACCAGTTCTGGATCTCCTCCTCAAAAGCAAGCATAGTTAATTCGCCCTTTCCTTATGGCCAGAAATCCATTACAGTAGTGGCCACCCACAGTCCATTACAGTAGTGGCCAAAATTGTGGAAACCATTTGGGAAAGTGTATTTTCTAAAACTAGCTAATAACACCACTTTTTTGGGGGGGAGAGTAGTACCATAAAATTATATATCAATGGAAATGTAATTTAATCAAGAATGCAATGCAATAACTTTTATGAAGAGTTTGCTATTAGAACAGCAGTTACAGTACAAAGAAGAAACGTGACGTATTAAAAAACAAGATATACAAACATTCTCACCATAGAAAAAAAGGAGATATACAAAAATTATCACCATGTCAGTTAATACTTAGTTGGATAACCTTTAGCATGAATTACAGCCTTACAACATCTTCCCATGGAGTGAACCAAGTCTTTTAGTTCTGCAGCTGTTCTAATGTGAAACCTTAGAGCCTTGGTAGTACAGGGGTTTAAGGCACCCTGTTATTAAGCTGGTTATTAAGACCAGCTGCCTGCAATTACTGCAGGGTTTGAATCTCGCCAAGGCTCAAGGTTGACTCAGCCTTTCATCCTTTCTAAGGTAGGTAAATTGAGGACCCAGTTGTGGGGGCAATAAGCTGACTTTGTATAAATATACAAAAAGGATGAAGGCTATTGCTGAGCACATTGTAAGGCGCCCTGAGTCTTCGGAGAAGGGCGGCATATAAATCAAATTAAAAAAAAAAAAAAAAAACCAAGATTGATTGAATGATTGCTTCTATTAACTGGGTTTTATTGCTGGGTCGCTTCTGACTAACAAGCTTCTTTAGTCGATGCCATAGATTTTCCATTGGGTTAAGGTCTGGGCTATTCCCAGGCCATTCCAGCAGTGGAATATGATTATCTTGAAACTCCCCCCCCCCCCAAAAAAAAGTGGTGTTATTAGCCATCAAACCTCAAAAATACAACTTTTTCCCAAAAGGTTTCCACAATTTTGGCCACTACTGTAAATCCACCAATCACTTTTGCTCAATTTGTTAGGGGAACCTGCCGGCCACACTGGGACATCTGCTTGGTGTGTCCTTGAAATGGAAGCAATATCTCATGGAAATTGACGGATTCTTGGCAGCCATTCCCCCCTCCCTTGTTTCTATTCCAGTCCCTCCCTTTCATTGTCAAGCTGCAATTGAAGCAGGATATAGGTCAAAGTGTGAATCAGCCTTGACAATAGCACTGAAGAAGCAGGGGGCTGGACTACATCATGGACTGCCTCTCTCCAATTACATTTGCCCAGCCCATCAGGTCAGCAGAGAAGGTGTGTTGTGGCTGCCATTTGCCAGGAAATTACATTTGGCAAATCCCAGGAGGCAGATCTTCTTTGTCATGGGATCCATCTTGTGGAATCCTTTGCTCCATTCCCTCTCAACAGTCCACATGGTTATGATAATGTTACCAGGCATCGGTCCCCGACAGTGGTGGGTTCCTCCCGGTTTGGCCCAGTTCAGCCGAGCCCGTAGCAGTGATGATATGACGTCACCGAACTGGTTCTCTTTGTTTGGGAGCTGGGCCCTCCCGCCCACCCCCACATTATTCTTACCTTTTATTTCTTCTTTTTTAGCTCAGCTGATAGGTGTGGCAGAGTGGATTGCCGCACCTCAGCTGGGCAGATTCGTAATGCGCTTGCACGGAGCGCAAGTTTGGTGCACATGTTAGCAAAGCGAGTGCACAAAGAGGCGATCGCGCGTGAAGCGCGTGCATGAAGAGGCAATTGTGCGCAAAGTGTGTACATAAAGAGAACTAGTAGTAAAGCCGGTTAGAACCCACCACTGGTCCCCGAGGATCGGAAAGATTTTGCGTTGGCTTCTTTCCTGTGATTAACATCATCCTCTCTTTCGGTGTGTGTCTTTTTTGTAGCAATTTTAAAATTATTATAAATTATAAACACATAGAGTATATATTTATTATTATTTTTAATTAGGTTTTGTGCACTGTCCAGAGTTACTTTTAGGTGAGGGATGGCTTTACATCAACAAAAAGATAAGTAGATTTTCAGTTTTAACTTCCCACAGCACATTTTTAAACTATGGTAGGTGCTGCTGTCAGATATAATTATCACCAATGTACACACAACAGACATACAGACACACAGACACACACAGACACAGGATGATCAGTGACTGACGTTTCCAATTGTAATCAAAGGCGGAACACCCAAAATACTGGTTGTGTCAGGCTCCAAGTAATGCACCCATTACAAATCGAACTCTGAGGCATTGCTTTTCCTCAAAGAACAAATTTATTTAGATACATCATCATTTTGGCGCTACTGGTGGAAAGCCAGTACTAAAAGTTTCCGTGCTTTCCACCCCAATATAAGTAATAGTTTTTTTTTCATTTTCCAAAACAACCAGTCACATGGCCCAACCAAGATGAGAGCCAGTTGCCTGGTGACTTCTCTCCTCCTTCGGTCGGCCAGCCATTGAAATGCACCTGACTCATCGGTTAGCTATGATGTTAGCTATGATGAACTTCTCCTCTTTTAAATGGGAATTTTAAATTTGGTTTTAAATTATTGGGGTTTTAAATATGGTTCAGCCAAATTTATCTAACTTGTTTTATTTCTATTTTAAATTTTGTATTTATATGTTTTATTTCATGGCTGTTCACCGCCCTGAGTCCTTCGGGAGTAGGGTGGTATACAAATTTAATAAAATGAAATGAAAAATGTTTTGACTGAAGGCTCCATCCTCCTTCAGCTCCAAACAGTGTCAAATTGAATTCACATCAGAATTCCCAAGGATGTAAACAATCCCACACCCCAATCAAATTCAGGCTTGACAGGTTGTGGAGAACAATAGAAGGAAACAATCGCCCTTGTGAGGCCCAATTGTGAGTTTACCAAACACATCCGGTGGCACACTGTGTGACCTAGCAGGCCTTCACTTAATGCAGCCACAGAACTCTTCTCATCTTCTGAAGTGGACTGTACCAAAATAAATAGAAATATTTAAGAGATGTCCAGTTATCCCAAGTCTACCAATATTGCCTAGTATGTCATGATATCTCACTGTTAGAAGAAGGGAAAGTTGGGTTTTGGAATTGTAAATATGTTGTTGTTTTTTCCCCCTAAACACAGAATAAGCCAACTTTTGTTAGAAAAAGTCAGTGAGCTAAATCAATAATGTCCAAAAACTATTTGGTTTAGGACTAGAATCTCTGCCTTCTGTCTTTACCACAGTTCTTTAGTGCAGGACAGCTTCTCACACCACGCTATACATGAGACTCACAATAATATTTCAGAGACCCAACGAGTAAAGTGAGACATTTGTTAAGTGAGCTTTGCCCCATTGTACGACCTTTCTTGCCACTGTTGTTAAGTGAATCACTGCAGACATTAAGTTAGGAACAAGGTTGTTAAGTGAATCTGGCTTCCCCATTGACTTTGCTTGTCAGAAGGTTGCAAAAGGGGTTCATGTGACTCCAGGGACTCTGCAACCGTCATAAATATGAACCAGTTGCCAAGCATCTGAATTTTGATCATGTGACTATGGGGATGCTGCAATGGTCACAAGTGTGAAAAAATGGTCATAAGTCACTTTTTCCTGTGGTGTTGTAATTTCGAACGGTCACTAAATGAACTGTTGTAAGTCAAGGACTATCTGTATTCACTTGGATTGGTTTTTTTTTAAGAAAAATCATTTTCTTTTAATGACCCCATAATCCCTTGCAGGGTGGAGTCTGGGCAACTGAATGGAGCTGAGGGTTTATTGACCGGATGCCCTTCCTGTCACCAATGCTGAGGGTTTTTTCAGCAGATATATTCTCATTTGTGCTTTTTGTTTTTTTTTAAAAAAATCTAGATAATATGTAATGTTGTAATCATAGAAAGTTTGAAGACACTATGGAAAGAAAGAATAAATCTTAAAATGGCAAAATGGGGTGCCTATTAAATAAATGGAAAATCATCATTTTAACCTTGTTTGAATATTTTAATGTCATTTGCATTAAGTTGAATATAATATAGAGGTGTTGTTTAATCTTCCCAGGCTTGTTTCTCGGAATGTTCTGGAACATGGCTTCCATATTCAGTCTGAGGGAAAAAAAAGAGTGGGATGTCACTGTTTTAAATTCTGGCTTTCCCTACAAACCTGACCACAATTATGAAGAATTTCTCCGCCTTCTGAACCGTGAAGGTTTGAGCCCGATCAATGAGCTTTAGCAGGATTGTCTTCACCAGATTGTTCCTCAGAGTGTACACAAAAGGACTCAGGAATGGGTTAATTATGCTGCTGAGGAACGCCGGGATTTTGCGAGACCCCAAAGTCGACGGCTTAGATGGGATCACGTACAGTAAGATGGAGACACTTGAAGCCATCAAGAACAAAGTGAGATGAGACACACACGTGTTGAAGGCCTTCTTCCTCCCAGAGCCAGTGGGTATAACCAAAATAGCAGAGACAATGTAAATATAAGAGACCAGTGTCAGGTTCAAAGAACAAAGAATGACGATGGAGGATAATACAAACAGGACGATTTGTATCGAGCTGGTATCTGTACAAGATAACTTCAGTAGAGGCTCACTGTCACAGAAGAAGTGATCGATGACATTGGAGCGGCAATAGGAGAACCTGGTGATCATGATGGTCGGATAGAGGACAAAAGCAAACCCAACCAACCAACAAGCCATCACCATTTGAACGCAAAAATGATCGTTCATGACCACCGGGTAATGTAATGGGTTACAGATGGCCACAAAGCGGTCATAGGACATACACGTCAAGAGGAAGTATTCCACTGTTGCCAGGAAGAAGTAGAAATAGGATTGGGCCATGCAGCTAGCAAAGGAGATGGTCTTGATTCCAGAGAGGAGATTCCTCAACAAACTGGGAGCGGTTACAGTTGAAAAAAACAGGTCTAGGACAGAGAGGTTGGCAAGGAAGAAATACATTGGCGTATGGAGACAACGGTCGGTAATGGTAATGAACAGAATAGCCGAGTTACCAAATATCGTTGACGTATACACCACCATCAGCATTGTGGCCAAGAATATCTCTGCTTTTCGCCCAATCAGAAAGCCCAAGAGGATGAATTCTTCATAACTGGTGTGGTTTCCCATTTCTAATCTCACAAAGAAAAAAACAAACAAACAAACAAAAAACACTGTCACAACAAAGACTGTTCTTTCTGTGCCACCTCAGAAAGCTCAAACTGTCCAAGGAGCTGCTGATCCAGTTCTACAGAAGAATGATTGAGTCTGTCAGTTGCACCTCTATAATTGTCTGGTTTGGTTCTGCAACCCAGCAAGACAGACACAGACTTCAGAGGATTATTAGAACTGCAGAAAAAAAACAATGGCTACCAACCTGCCTTCCGTTGAGGACCTGTATACTGCACGAGTCAAAAAGAGGGGTGTGAAAATATTTACAGACCCCCTCACATCCTGGACATAAACTGTTTCAGCTCCTACCCTCAAAACGACGCTATAGAGCACTGCACACCAGAACAACTAGACACAAGAACAGTTTTTTCCCGAATGCCATCACTTTGCTAAACAAATAATTCCCTCAACAGTGTCAAACTATTTACTAAGTCTGCGCTACTATTAATCTTCTCATCGTTCCTATCGCCCATCTCCTCCTACTTATGACTGTAACCTTGTTGCTGGTATCCCTAAGATTTATATTGACTGTTTCCTAATATGATCTGATTGCTTATTTGTTCCCTATGACTATCATTAAGTGTTGTACCTTATGATTCTTGACAAATGTATCTTTTCTTTTATGTACACTGAGAGTATATGCACCAAGATAAATTCCTTGTGTGTCCAATCACACTTGGCCAATGAAGAATTCTGTTCTGTTCTGTTCTGTTCTGTTCTGTTCTGTTCTATTCTATTCTATTCTATTCTATTCTATTCTATTCTATTCTATTTCCTCACCACAGTCACAATTATGTAGAGGTAAGAGACAACAGTGACACACAAAGAGCTGAGTAACCACAGACCGAGAGGCTAGTTGCCAGAGTCAGGAGACTATCTATATCATTGCAAGAAAGCTTGATCAGTGGAGCATAGTCGCAGAAGAAATGATCGATCACGTTAGAGCTGCAGAAGGACAGTTGGCCCAGGAGAAAAACTGGCTCAGAAGTACTCACAAAAGAAGCAATCCAGGAGCCCAACATAAGAGTCACACAGACCCGCCCATTCATGATGATCGTGTAGCGCAATGGATGGCAGATAGCAATGTAGCGGTCAAAGGCCATCACGGCAATGATGATAATCTCACAGGTACCAAGAAAGAAATAAGAGTAGCACTGAATGATGCAGCTCCAGAAAGAGATCGATTTGTTCAGAGAAACTAGATTGGTCAACAACTTCGGTGTGATTGTCAGAACGAAAAATACCTCCAGAAAAGAGAGGTTGCAGAGGAAGAAATACATGGGGGTTTGCAAACGTTGGTCCACGCATACCAGAGTGATAATCATGAGGTTCCCAGCCAAAGTGAGAAACAACTCAACCAGGAGCAATGAAAAAAGGAAGAGTTCCATGGGCCTAGGTAGTTGGAAGCCAATTAGGATGAACTCGGTCACTTGTGTTGTGCTATTCTGAGTCCTAGTTCCCATCATGAATTTGCTAGTGGAGAAAAATCAAGCCAAGAAAAAAACTCACTGCAGATTGGTACCCTTAAATATATATATATATATATATATTATAATATATATATATATATATATATATATATATTTATTTATTTTTATTTACTTTTATTTGATTTATATGCACAAAGTCAGCTTATTGCCCCCACAATCTGGGTCCTCATTTTACCTACCTTAGAAAGGATGGGAGGCTGAGTCAACCTTGAGCGTGGTGAGATTTGAACTTATAGTAATTGCAGACAGATTGATGTTAATAACAGTGCTTTAGTCTGCTGCACCATTTTACCTTCTTCTCTTGAGTCCCAAGTTCAAACCTGGAGACCTCTCACCAAAGAGCGCCAGAAACAGCCTCCTGAAACCAAGAGACTGGGGTCTACTCCATCAGGCTTCTTCTCATAGAAATGCACCAACATTGAAATGCCTTTTCCCAGGAGCACAACCTGGTAATGATAATCACCTGTCCTTCAGAATGTGACTCTGTAAAAAAAAAATATTTTGGTTGAACCCCCTGCTTAGGCAGGAAACCCTACACCAGTTCAGACAAATGGTTATCCAATATCTTCTTAAATACTTCCAGTGTTGGAGCATTCACAACTTCTGGAGGCAAGTTGTCCCACTGATTAATTGTTCTGACAGGAAATTTCTCCTTAGTTCTAAGTTGCTTCTCTCCTTGATTAGTTTCCACCCATTGTTTCTTATTCAATCCTCAGGTGCTTTGGAGAATAGTTTGACTCCCTCTTCTTTGTGGCAATCCCTGAGATATTGGAAGATTGCTATCATGTCTCCCCTAGTCCTTCTTTTCATTAAACTAAACGTACCCAGTTCCTGCAACCGTTCTTCATATGTTTTAGCCTCCAGTCCTCTACTCATCTTTGTTGCTCTTCTAGAGCCTCAACACATTTTTTTACATTGTGGTGACCAAAACTGAATGCAGTATTCCAAGTGTGGCCCAACCAAGGCATTATAAAGTGGTATTAACACCTCATGTGATATTGATTCTATCCTTCTGTTGATGTGTAGGCTTTTTTGGCAGCTGCTGCACCCGGTTGGCTCATATTCCTTTCCATATTTCATGCTCAAAGACTGTCTATAATATTAAAACTCTAGCACGAACGCTTTTATATAAAAGTATATGGAGATACTTCTGTTTATATAAAGGATATAAAGACACAGTATATCAACACACTGAAAGCTTCTACACTGGAAATAGCAATAGCACTTACTTATATACCGCTTCACAGTGCTTTGCAGTCTTCTCTAAGTGGTTGACAGAGTCAGCCTATTGCCCCCAACAGTCTGGGTCCTCACTGTACCCACCTCAGAAGGATGGAAGGCTGAGTCAACCTTGAGCTTGGTGAGAATTGAACTCGCAGTAATTGCAGGCAGCTGGAAGCTAAATACTACCTTTAACAGTAGCATTAGTCTGCTGCGCCACTCAGGCTCTTTTTAGACAACTGGAGTAGATTAGATTAGATTAGATTAGATTAGATTAGATTAGATTAGATTAGATTAGACATCTGGAGGCTAAAATACATGAGGAACGGTTGCAGGAATTGGATATGTCTATTTTGATGAAAAGAAGGACTAGGGGTGACATGATAGCAGGGTTCCAATATCTCACGGATTGCCACAAAGAAGTCAAGCTATTCTCCAAAGCACCTGAGGGCAGGAGAAGAAGCAATGGACAGAAGCTAATCAAGGAGAGAAGCAACCTTGAACTAAGGAGAAATTTCCTGGCAGTTAGAACAATTAATCAATGGAACAACTTGCCTTTAGAAGCTGTGTGTGCGCCATGATTGTCTTTAAAAACTGGAGGTTGTGAATGCTCCAACACTGGCAGTTTTTAAGAAGAGATTGGACAGGTGTTTTTCTGAAATGGTAGAGGGTTTCCTGCCTGAGAAGGGGTTGGACTAGAAGACCTCCAAGATAGATTCCAAATCTGCTGTTCTGTTAAGAGAATACTTCCTATTGGCCATACCTGATATAAGTGATGGGAGGAAAAAATCTCCAGACTGATCATAATTCCTAGGGCTTCCTGTGCTACTTCTGAATCATGAATATACAATTGCATCACAAAAAGCATCACAAGAATCCTTCTTGTAAAGGGTATATGAACTGGGAGAAACTAGTGGCCTGAAGAATGAGGATTCCTCTAGGATAATCATCAGTCAGAGGTCTAGCTGGAAGAAGACTAGAAGTAGTGGATCCTATTTTCATCTCCACATCCCAAACTTTCAGCAGGAAGATCTCACATGGCCACTTCCAATCCAGTCTTCTTTTGACTGGCATTCTGATGGCTCTAGAATATGCTTGTATTTTCCTCCATCCTGTGACACTTTCTCCCAAAATGAATTTAGCAGATGATTAACTCCTAGCCTAGGCAGCAATATCCCTCTTGACAATCACTTAACTAAATCGGCATTTAGAAAGTATAAGTTGAGATAGTTCCTTGGAGACATTTGTTAATGGGTTCTCCAGAGAGGAAAGTTTGTAAATAGATTTATTCATTCTGGTGGCATCAAAACTTTAATGATATTGGGCCTGATTTTCCTAGCTTGCAGGGCATGTTGTAGAAAGTTAGCACCCAGCTCTCTCCTAGAAGAATGAAATATTTTGAGGAATATTAAAAAGGCAGAATATTATATTTCCCTAAAGGAGGAATGGAATAACATGCTCTTGGAGACAGAAAGCAGCCCCCACCTTCCTTAGTAGCCCACAGCAGATGTCAGCACTTCAGAGATAAAGATATGGCTCTATTCATAGGCAAAGCAAATACTGCAAGCAGAAATCCACTCAAGACAGGATCTTATTCTTCTTGTGCCATATTTGTCATCGGACGTTGGCAACCATGTTGGCGATCAGATTTTTATCAACAGCTGCACAAAAAACTACTGTTGAGTTTTGCCCAAACTTGTCCCTTAGATTTTAAAGCCATGATGTTCTTCTTCGTTTGCCTTCAATCTTTCCTTGGAGGATTAAGTGGAAGTATGCTGTATTTTTCAAGACAGGATATTGCAGCAAAGTCTGAACAAAGGCAGAGTGATAGGATTAGCCATCACTCAAGATCCAAATCAGGACAAATAGGAATTGCCCAACACCTATTCAGAACACAAGTCTCTTCATTGCATAGTCTCAGCAGTCCAAACTTCAACCAAACCTGGGAGCTCAGACGAACTTCTAGGATTTGTACTTTGCCTATAGAGACAGCTATGACCCCTACATAATCCCTACATGGTCCTGTGGGAGTCTGACAATAACCGATAGAATGCATGTTCTTGCACAGGAACAGGAAGTTCAAGTGCAAAGCCCAAGGGAAGGTATAAAAACCCCTCACTCTCAACTCCATCTGGTCAGCTGCACCAGAACCACAATCCATGTGGTCCTGTTGATCAATCAATGGACCCTCTTTCCAATCAGCCTCCAGCCTCCATTTTGTCTCCAGTGCCTTTCTCCTGTCTTGGAACTGTACCA